AATTGTCTATATGTTATTTTTTAATATAATTTCACAGAACGGACATTTCTGAAATGCATCAAAAACTGGACTATAAATGTATAATAATTATAATGCCTTAAGATGGTCACTTACTATTCCAGATAATATGAATATTCTGTGGAAATAATCATCTTGCAGAACATTACTAATGGTGATATTAAAAACCATTGGTGAATTTAATTTAATCTTTCAAAAACATTGATCTTTTCCAAAAATGATTCTATGACAGGTTTCACTTCGATTACTTTTGAAAAATATCTTTCTTAGGTTCATTTTAAAAATGTATCCACACAAAAGTTGTCTTATGTTTATTCCAAAATATAAGCAATGCAATATTATGAAAATATAAGCAATGCAATGAATTATTAAGCACTACCTTCCTCATACATAACAGCTTATTACCATTACTTAAAGACATAGACACACTGGCCAATGAATTAAAAAACCAAGATCAATATTTTATTGAACCACTTTTTGCATGAATAACTGCTCTGATTCCTTTGGGTATCAAGTCTACTGGATTCTAGAGTGCATTTGCATCCATAAAATATCATGCATTAGCTATGCAGCTTTCTAGATCTTGTGAATTAAATGGAAGAGGAGAGTGCTGTCAGATGCATCTTTCCACCCTATCCCACACATTTTCTATGGGATTAAGATCTCGGCTGTGTGGAAGAGAAGGTGTTGGAAGTCGGACTGATGTTCAGTGAACCAATTTGAGCACTTGTAGTTGTATTATCATCCATGAAGTATCCGTCGCCATCAAGGTAAAAATGCAACACTGCAGGGTGAACTCAAACTGTCAGTATATCTAGATATCTCATGGCTGTTTGTTTACCCTTGAGGAACACCAGGGCACCACTTCCACGCCCTAAAACATGCCTTAACACCAGGGCACCACCACGCCCTAAAACAAATTTTTGGCACATTCAATTACAAAGATAATTCTATACACATAGAATTAATATTTGCTCTCAAAGGTAGTGCTTATAATGATATACAAATAGCACAAATTTGACTAATGGCAAAATCTATTCTGGACAAAATAACAACTTTTAGAATAATTTTGTCTGCTCATACATATTTGAAAGCATTTCAATATGCTGAGACAGTAACGGAATATTTGCAGACTAAAGTATTAGATTACATCCTAGTATAAATAATATTCATCCTAGCATATGAATAAAGTGTTGTTGCTCTCAAAGGTAGTGCTTGCAATGATATACAAATAGCACAAATTTGATTAATGGCAAAATCTCTTTAAAAGCAATTTCTAGAAACTTTGATTTAATATTTTAACGCATCAAAATCATTTGCAACGAATTGCAGCAATAAACTAGAAATGCTGGGTTGTAGTAGAATTATAGAAGAACTACTTGCTAGAAGATGCCGAAAAGTGAAGCAAATGGATGACAAAGAATCACCTGGCTATAATTTCAATTGCCCTATCAAACAATTCAAGTTGCCGTCTTTAATTTGATAATGGATAACACCATTTCATCGATGGAAAGTAGGTTTAATTGCATATATATATGAATAATGTATTACTTTTTGTAAAGGTACATTTTTATTTTATAATTTTTTTTAATGATGATGATGGAAAGTAGCTTTAATTGCATATATATATATATGATTAAAGTGTTATTTTCTTGCAAAGGTATATTTTTATTTTATAAAATTATTTTTTTTTATGATGATGACGATAACTTATATGTATAATGGCGTTTCATATGGGGCCTTAGGGCGGATGTATTTTATGTTGCCAGTGCCGATTTCTTTGGCCAATCCACCATTGCAATCAATCTAAATACATCATTAGATAGATGGAAGAGATTATTAGCAAACACAGATACGAGAAAAAAAAAAAAAAAAAAAAAAAAAACGTTTACACTGGACAGAGTACATGAATAGTATTGCATCAAAAATAATCAAAGCTCCATGCACATAAGCAACCAAATGTGAGTGGCAAGGTCATTTGGTAGATAGCGTGTTCGATTGGTGTTTGCTATATTTTATTTAGACTAGCTAGTGGTGGTGTGATTTTTAGAAATTTGGCATGTGCAGTAAGATTGTGTACCAACAGAAGTTACCGTAAAGCAGCATAACGGAATACAGGATTTAGAAGCAAGCAATATTTGTATGATTGACGTAATTGTTAATAGACAGTCAAGATTTATTCTAGCATCCATATATATTCATCAAACTCAGGCAATCTGAAGATGTTTTTGTTTAGTGCACTAGTGAAATATTTCGACACTAACTTATTGATCAATGAAGAGTTTACTGTAGATACATGTTATTACAATGTAAATTTACACGTAGATGTCAAACAAAATGAAAAGGTATTTGATTTTATGAAGCATCACTTTAATCATAATATGGTGCCAATTAACTATCCAAATACACTTGGCAATCAATTTATAGATTTAACATTTACTAGGAATATAGCTGCAGACATCTTAAAATTATATATCTTATTCTTCACATCATCAACCAATTTTATCAAGTGTTATTTTCAATGAATAAATAAAAAATAAAACAAATTATATGTGTGAAATCTTGTTTGTTTCATTTGTTCTATAACATCCCCACAATTCCATTATTAATCCTATGCTTTAGACACCAGTGGCTCTTTAAACTAAAAGAAAGAGCCTACCATTTACTTTTTTTTTTTTTTGTGTGTGTGTAGCATCAAACTGCTGTATACATTTGAAGAATGCAAAAACTACATGTTTTACCATCAGTGTTTCTTTCTTTTGAAATTTCATTTATTGACTGCTCTTTTTATGAAATTCCTAAGACACTGCTAGGTTGATCTTTACATTATGGTAACTTGGCGTTTTTTTGGCGACCAACTCTCCTACAGCACCCCTCTATTTTTTTTTCCCCGCCGCCATTTTGTCTTCACGAAGTAAAGACATGTTTCTTTTCTTTTTATCTACTGAACACTTCTTCCAACAATCTACTAGCTGAATTACACTTATGCTAGAAATTTTATCTAACAAAACTGCTTAATCATGACAAATATTCACTGCAAAATTGGGAAAAAGTGCACAATACCATACTCCTTACGCGTTTTTCAAAATAACACATACACATAAACCATGTACACGCCGACTTATTTTTACTTAAAAAAACATCCCAGAATTGCACAAAAATGGCATTGCGCACACTCTTTACTATATCCATGTACACAGCTTTTTTCTCATAAATTAGAAAAATTTCACGAATACATGACAATTTTCTCAATCTCTAAACCCGGTAAAAAGAACATATATGAAATTACCAGATCGCGAAAAAGTATTTACCCTTTCCAAATATGAACATTTCCACATATAAAATAAATAAAATATCCAAAAACTTTTACCTCTAAATCATCTATTACATTATACACGTCACCAACGAATTCATACCGCAAGCATTACAAATACTTAGTATCAAATATTTAAATTATTTCCATGCACGTTTACTTCAACTTAAAACGTATACCAAATTCCTACAAACATAAAAATTCACAAAATAACTATCATTTAATTAAAATATCACTAAAACCATGTACACACCACGCCAACTTATTTTTACTTAAAAGCATCCCAGAATTGCACAAAAATGGCATTGCGCACACTCTTCACTATATCCATGTACACTGCTGCTTTTTCTCATAAATTAGAAAAATTTCACACGAAAATACATGACAATTTTCTCAATCTTTAAAACCGGTAAAAGAACATATATGAAATTACCTGATCGCGAAAAAGTAATGAACATTTCCACATATAAAATAAATAAAATATCCAAAAACTTTTACCCTCTAAATCATCTATTACATTATACACGTCACCAACGAATTCATACCGCAACCATTACAAATACTTAGTGGTCAGATATTTAAATTATTTCCATGGCACGTTACTTCAACTAAAACGTATACGAAATTTCTACAAACATAAAATTCACAAAATAACTATCATTTAATTAAAATATAATTAAATTCAAAAACACTACTTAAAATATAAATGAGCATATACATTAAATTAATACATACATAATACCCATTTCGAATTCACTTTAGTTACGGCCATGGGATCCAAAATTCACGAACTGAACACTGTTTCACTCAACACAGAATAAAGCCAAATACAAAATTTTCCAGATTTTTTTTTTTCCCGATTTCCCCCCTTTTTTCCTTCCGATTAAAGAACCGTAATTCGTCCATTAATATCACATGACATATCCCATGATCTCTCATTTCCCTCACACAAAATAATGCGTAATCGGAACTGAGTACTGCTCACATTATTACCAAAGTGCCAGGTAGTAACCTTTATCGCCTCCAAAATGTCGCCAATCTACCAGTTACCATATTGTAAAGATCAACCACACTGCTATTTTGAAAGTGGCTCTTGCCTTTCCCACATTAGCTAGGCAAAAATTTAATTTCCCTGTGGAGTACCCTGTTCTGAAAAATACCCAATTTAAGCAATATCAGCTCAAATTTGCACCAGTCATTCCAGTAAAAAATTGGAGAAATGCATTTCAATTGATAAAGTAGATTACTGGGGATTAATCCCTGTTTCATGATACGAAGAATTTACAATTGTATTTTGATGTCATGCTTATCAATCATTAGATGTTAAATCACACAGTTTAGTAACCATAAAAAAATATATAATTTACAATTGGTAAAATATGAAAAATAATAATTAATTTTTATACTGCTAAGAGTCATTTGTGAAAAATTACTTTACCAAGATAATGTTAAAATATGACATATATTTTACACTTCCTTTTATTACACACTGTGAAGAGAGGAGAAATCTTCAAAATATACAAGCTAGTTCTTAAGTTTAAAATTAAAATCAAAATTATAATATGACAATCTGATTAACAATAAACAGTTAAATTTTCTTCTTTAAATTCAAATGGTTTCTTCTTTAAATTCAAATTCAAAGGAAACACAAAAACAACATAAAAATTACCTTCTCATTCTCAACACCTAGTTCTTTTTTCATTTGAAGCACTTTATCCTTTAAATTTTCAAGTTTCTGTATAATGTTGAGTTGATGTTTCTCCAAGGCAAGTAATTTAACATCGTCCTACAAAACATATAAAAAATTTCACGATGCAGCTTACAGAATTGCCTACTATTAACAAAGAACCTTTTGGTTGCAGGCATCAATTTACAGTCACCTCCCCAAAAATTATTCAGAGAGCTTTGGAATGGTTTATTGCAAATCTTTCTGGCTATGTTTCTGCGAATTTAACCTTATTTTATTACTCAGAGATGAATTTAACATTTTCAATACATTACAATATCAATTTTAAGATTTGAAAATTACTGTTAAACTAGAACCAATTAAAAGTTTTTCATATTTTAAGGAGCCTAATATTAAAAGATTAATTAATTTATGAATATTCAAGATGTACCCAATTCACAAAATTTGTATATCTAATGAAATAACCAGGGGCAAATATGTAATCAAAAATAACAATAATGATTGAAAAATACGGAGCATTACAGAGTTTAACCTTTTCAGAAACAAGTGCATATGAAACAAATGCGCAATGAATTGCAGATATGTCATTTAATGTTTTTCTTCATTAAATTGGTATGCACTACCTAAAAAAAATTTTTAAGTTTTCCTCTAATCCCAATGTCATCTGACGCGAACAGAAAATTATTTCAGACAAGATCCTTATTCTATAAATATTAACAAAAATTCTGTTTGATAATTAAAAAAAAAAAGGCTTATAATATTAAAAAGTTCACAAAATTATAGGATCAGAAGATACCTCTTCCTTCTCTGCCATTTTCAAAAATACGTTCAGGAAAGCTATTAATAGTTATTCCGAACGCTGGCTAGTTTTCAAGTGCAAATATTTTCTTTTTCTAAGGCACTAAAAAATATTTTTTAAAATTTAAATTCATTAGTACCTGGTCATTAGAATTTATTGTAACTGTATCCTCATACACATTTCTCATTTTATACATTGTAGTTGGAAGCGTTATATCAGGACAATAATCATACAAAGGACTAATTTTATACATTTTCATCGGCCCATTCACACTAAGTGCCATGCTAACTGTGGGAAAGAAATTCTAAAAAACTTCTGCAAGATTCCCTTTCCGAATACCGACGTTACTAAATCTTATGTACTTTTATTATCGTTGCCAATTTTCACAGTTGTATACGAAGTTTCGTATTTGTGCGCTTTGAATGAGAACGGCCCCAAAATTAAAGAAGTTGCAGCTCTCTCAAATTTAGATATGTGTGAAGCTTTTTTTTTTTTTTTTTTTTTTTTTTTTTTTTTTTTTTTTTTTTTTTTTTTTTTTTTTTTTTTTTTTTTTTTTTTTTTTGTACCATAAAGTTGTATTTATGAAAGTAAACTGTGCTTATGAGTTACTTAAATTTTACCCTTAACTTAAAAAAAAAAAAAAAAAAAAAAAAAAAAAAAAAAAAAAAGACTGCTCGCATCGTGTGATCCTATTTAAAACATATGATACTTTTTGTATGAACTCAGTGCAAAAGTAAGTCCAATGAACAAACAGTTTTTAGGACAAATATGTAATACTAGTGTAACATAACATAAATATGTAATTATACGTAATACGACAAAAGATTAGCAATTCTAATGGCTGATACCTATCAGTAGTTAGAATTATTATTAGAATGGCCATAGAGAATTGAGAATGGTCTCTTTGCAGCATTATTTAATTTTCTACGATCTACAATCTGGCAACAGCGATGTAAAATGGTATCGTTATAAACTTAGTGTTGTTTCTTATGCTAAGTACTAATATTTTTGGTATTTGGTAAATACCAAATTTCTCTATTATAAATTTTTAGGGGAATAGTTGTTCAAGATCTAAAGATGGACGTGAAATATAATAAGAAACAGTTGATTGCTGTAGATTATCCTGGTACTGTACTTAATGTTGAGAGTATGGAGAAAACATTTGGTGGAAAAAAGGAAATGGTTTCCGTTTTCAGAAGTCCTCCAAAACGTTTGGATTTAAAATTTCGTCCGAATGACCCTTTTTGCAAAAGTGCGCATGGTGATCTGTTTAATACAACTAATATTTTAATGAAAGTTGTAAAACGAACAAGAAAGAAACCAAAAAATGGAATTTCAAATCCTGATGTGCAGTTTAATGTTGAGTTTTTTGGAGTTGCCAGCAGCACATATCAGTTCAAATCGCTAGCTGATTTCCAGGTTCTCCCTGTAACTTTCGACAAGAATAAACAGGCTTTTAAATCGCTAATTCCAGATATAGTACCAACCGAATTACATCCTTCCTCATGGCTTGAACAGGAGGTTGATTTTTTTATTCCACCTCTTTTGTATTCACGATTTGATTTCCCGCAGAATGGATATATTGATATTCAAGCTAAGACGTCAAGGCATCCTGAAGCAAAAGTTGAGTTGCCTCCAAACATAATTGGGAGAAGTAGGAAGAGAAGAGCTGGTTATGCAGTTTTTACAACATTTGAAAGCGCAGACCCTTGTGATGAACCTCAGCCTGAAGCTTTGGAACAGTTACAGATATATCCGTTAGAATTGGAAGTACAAAAAAAACTTCAGGCATTATTTAATAGTGAAAGGCCAATTTGGACACGTAATGCTCTTCTCAGTCTCCTGAAATGTGATCGTGGAAGACTGAAGCATGCACTTCCTTGCACAGCATATTATTTTACAAATGGTCCATGGAGAGCACTTTGGGTAAAATTTGGTTACAATCCACGAAAGGATCCAGCTTCAAAAAGATACCAAATAATGGACTTACGAATATCTCCTAATGTACCAATAGATGACAGTAAAACTAAGCGAAAGCCTACGTATTATTCTTTACCAAATAAGAGCAGTCAGAATCAACAGCGAGTTGCAACCATCAATACAAGTTATTTGATTCCTGCTAGTAAAGATGATGAAATGATGGATGATAACAAGTCCAAATCATATATGTATGAATATTTTCCTGGCAAATTGCCTACTTTAAGGCAGTGCTTTTTTCAGTTATGTGACATTCATTTAGAATCAGTGCAGAAACTTGTTCATCAGAATGATGGGCGAGAAGAAACTTGCCATGAAAAGGATGGCTGGTGTGATCCTGGGGTATTAGAAAAATGTCGAGAATTAATTATCGCAGATATACTAAAAACTGCAAAAAATTTAAAAGAAACTGGAAGTTAATTTAAATATGTGATTGTAATGAATAGTTGTATGTAATTTTTTTTTAATTTACATAATTAATAGTTTGTATATAAGCAAAAATTTCGAAAATATATGTATTTTGGATCGAAGAATGTAATTCGTTATTAAATTTTCTACTTCATGACACTGAAATCACTTTACAGTATATCTACATATATTGTAAATATCAGACTAGCTTTCAAATGTAAGAATAAATGCAACACGATTTATTGAAATCATGTTGTAAACTAAACAGTATTATACAGAACACTAATAATCTTACAGAACTGCTTTAACATATCATAAAATTAATTCAAAACAGATGTGTTCTAATCTTTTGTGTATGTGGTCAAAAGTTCATTTGGTGGTTAAACAAATAGCATATGTTGTTTATTTTGCCAAATTTAAGAATGTTTAACCTTATGTCTGTGCCTGAAGGTTGACAGTAAATTTTATTATTCTTTAGTTTTATTTGTAGTAGTTATTTGTGATAAAAGGAAATAAACATTCCAGATTTCTTGGCTAAAAATTAATGAGAGATTATTACATATAGTAATTCTAATTTCAAAAGGCTTTAAGTATTTATTTTCTTCGTATGCAGTAATATATATAGATATATATGTGTGTAAAATAAAAAACAGATAAAGTGCAAAATCGCCCACTTATTCGTTTAGCGCTTTTACAAGAGTAAGAATTGGATTTTTGTCAATTTTCTCTGACTTTTTAAGTGAAAATAGGTTGATGTGTACATGGATAAAGTCAAGGGAATGCACAATGCTATTTTTGTGCAATTCTGAGATGCTTTTTTTAAGTGAAAATAGGTTGATGTGTACATGGATTCCTCGTATGTGCAATTCTTTAAAACGAGCCAAGCAGTGGGTGATTCTGCACTTTCCTCTTAAAAACATGTAAATAAAAATTATAATTTAAACTAATGGTAACCCTTTAATTCTTCCTCGTTATTCTAAAAATTGTAATAACTTCTCTGGATTGCATCATTTCCAAATCAGTCCACTTTGTATGGCCTGTGTAATATTGATGACGTAATTCTGAGATCTGAAACCTTTCTCTTAATGGACTGCCATATTGGATAAATGGGCACGTTTCAGATAACCGGCCCTTGGCGATTTTTCGGCTGCCATCTTGGATTGGCGCATTTTTGAAATCCAAGATGGCGGCCAAAATTGTTATCCCTGTCCGAGGGAAAACAATTCTGAACTACCAAACATGCAACATGCAAAGAACAAGACAAAATTTAACTTAACCCAATTTATGCTGACATACTGACGATTATAATATTATAACATAATTAGATATAATGGCACAGTTAGCTAGCTCTTCTTTTGCTGCTTCGATGATTTATTTTGCTGTGCATTGTTGTGCTGCTAACTACGCTGTTATTTAAAATGTGATACTCTATATAAAATGGTGGTGTGCATATTGCACTCATGATCATGTTTTATGAGAAATATGGTCTCGATAATTAGTTCGTGTCCAGCAATAGAGATTGTTCAGTTCAGTTATGTCTGTCTACAAGTGTCTCCTTCGAGTGTCATCTTCTAATTATATATTAAATTTGGTTACAGTAGAGAGAAGGGTACCCCTTGTATTATTGTGAAGTTGTTTCATTTATGGTAGCCTCAGTAGTTGAATGTTATGGAAACTCTATTATGATATAATCAGTTCCATGATTGCAGTAAATTCGTAAGAGCTTGTGTGTTGGTTAGGAAGTATATTGCTTATTTTTGTGGTTTAGATAGTAAAATAGCTGAATGTGGTAAGATTAATTTGAAGTTTCTGTATGATTTGGGAAGAAAGGGAAAAAGAGCATTACTTGACTGGTGGGGGATGTTTCCCTAATCGGCACTTGGCGAAATTGCGGCCTTTTTTTTAGGAAGGAAATGCATATGGTCGAATGGTGCTACAGAGGATATTTTTTATTCTTATTTTGTGAATTTATGTGGCGATGCCTGTATACAGATTCTAGTTCAGATAATTTTAGGAAGTTTTTGGATGCTGTTAAGGAATTTTGTTTGACTGAAGGCATGTTAAGGTAATTGGACATTTCCTTTGTGTAGTGCAAAGATGAATTTCCTTTTTTATGTTATTCCATTGATTGATTTAAAATGCAGTTTATTGAAATTATATATATATATATATGGCATATTTTAGAATTGGTTGCCCCTTTTGACTTTTTAAGTGAATATAGTTTGATGTGTACATGGACAAAGTTTGTGCAATTCTCTGATGTTTTTTTAATTTAAAATAGGTCGATTAGTACATGGATAAAGTCAAGGGAGTGTGCAATGCCAAGTGAAAATAATCCGATGTGCACATGGATACCAAGTTTGTGCAGTTCTGTGTCTTGTTATTTTGCTTTGTGTAGAAGTGAAAAAACGCCACTACATAAGCCAAAGAATTGCACAAACTCGGTATCAATGTACCGCCAAAAATTGCCAATATAAGCCAAGGGATACCCGTAAATATATTTTTACCTTAAATTCTGTCCAAGTTATAATGCAGAGAGCCATAATCAATCTGTTACAGCTTACTCCAAGTTTTTGTAACAATTGAGTCAATGTGTACCTGTGCTTCATAGGTGTTATCGGTAGAAATTTAGTTAATGCTTTCATGTGCTAATCCTCAAGATATGTATGGCTTCATCATTCTGTGTGCACAACAAAAAATCACCAAGTCATCTACACTGAATCATTCCAAAACAAGTATACTGCAAGTTTAAATATTTTAAGTGAAAATCCATTCTTTGAAATTTAATCCACCATATTCAGTGATTTATTAAGTGCAACATAATTCAACAGCAGTATGAAAATGTGAAAAAAAAAGTGCTGTGAGTGCTTAAAAATGCGACCTAGTACCAGCCATTCAAAATTAATTCAGCGTATCTTCATGGTAAAATGAGGAATGTTATCAGAGTGCCAACATTCCAGTGCCTTGAAGGTCACCAAACTGCATATCTTCATTTGGCTGTTATGCGAATAAATTAGGATCTTTTTTCGCCACTACACGATTAAAATTAATACTTCAACTGTATGGTAGATTATTATTTCCCTTCTGCTTTCTGCAACCATAATGATATTACCAATAATCAGTATCAAGCACTGCTGTATGATTAACAAAAATTATAACTGAAATTTCTCCATGCAAATGCGTTCTCAAGCAAAAATATCCTTGAGCAAACCCAAAAATGCTTCCATAAACATACACAAATTTAATTTTCCAATTTCTGATATCAAGACTGATTTTCCGATAGATTTTTCATTTTTTGAAAAAACAAAATGTGGAAATATAAAGGTTACTAACAAGGAAGTTATTTCCAGAATTCTTAAGGGGTGAAGCCCTAGCTTTTTACGTCAGAGAGTGTGTCGATATCGATAATTGACTAATCCTTATAGACAAATTTAACCCATTTTTCAAGTTCTCAAAATATTACCTTTAATGATTTTTTAACTGTGACTTATTTCAAATTTAACGATATTGACAAGTACTTTAGACAAAAATTACGTTTTGCCTCTACCGTCTTTTTCCGAAAATAAGACATTGTCGTACTTTCTTTTTTGGTCCAAAATACGCGCTAGGGTATATTTTCGGGGAGGGCAAAAAAATAAAATATTTTATATTTTTTTTATTTAATATTTATTTTACACAGAATATAGAAATTTTAAATTTATTCAGTTTACAGTCATGTCATCTTCTTCTTTCTCTGGAACATCGTCATAAATAAAATTCTGAATTATATTCTGATTTTTCTTTTTCTCGAAATCCATGTCCTGTTGAAATTATTGGTCCGAATCTCTCATGTCTTGCGATTAGCTATCCTTAAATGAATACTTTCTTGTCTAAGTAGCCTGTTCGTCGTGCATTGGAAACATCACTATCAGTTTTTTTGCCCATAAATTTTTTTACCACCCAATCACAACTTCTTGTAAGCCTGGTTTTTTACAAAATTACCTCGATGATTTTCTCACCATTCTGTTTTTTCAATATAGTATTCATGGATTTCCATAATCCCTTGGAATGGCTTGTTTTTATTGCAATGTCAAGTGTCTGGAGGTAATAGTCCCATTCCTGGCCGGAATCATTATTTGATCAATCTTCCCTCTCAGCAAGAAATGTCTTTCATGTCTTAGTGCGGTGAGTACTGGCTGAATCCCAAACTAGTAAACCTCTATTCTGACCCCTCAACAGTGGTGGCAGCATAAAATCAACCCACTTTCTTATAACTGCTTGGGTGCACAGGCTTTTTCACTTTCAATGATATTCCTGAAATTCCTGAAACACGTGCATCTTCACGTTTTCCACCTCCAGCCACTCTTATTGAGCTGGAGGAGGTTATTCTTTGCTCTACAAGAAGAATTGCGATTGCTTTGCTTTTCTCTCTTTATTATTTTGACATTTAATTTAATAAATATTTTAATTTTTAGTCATTTACTTGCTAAATTTCTCAAAATTCCTACTAGTTTAAATTTTTTTTTAACAATTGACAACATTTGGTTTTATTTTTCGTTTTGAATTTTACTACAGTACAAAGTCCGAAATCCGGACGTCCATTATCTCAAATGATCTAAAATCCGGACATCAAAGTCACAAACTTTTTTTTTTTTTTAAACGCTTCATGCATGCGCATTTGATTTTTCCTTCCATAATAAAACATGCGGAGATTTTCACTTAAAATTCTTCTTATTTCAATTCGGCAACTAATAAAATACCCTTAATTATTAAAAAAAAACATCAGTTAACCATACATTTGTGAGATTAATAATTTGGCTCCGCAGCTGAGTGTGTGCTTGGCATCACATCTCAAACCGAAACATTCACCTATTTTATATCCCTGACGCCGACCTGGGGAGTCATGATTTATTATATTTTGCTTTCATCACCGCATGTTTATCAATACATGACAGCTTCAGTAATAACTCATGCTGTGATGTCTAAACTTTTTTTATATTAGTAATTGAATAACAAGAGTAAGGCAACCTTTTCTGCTAACATTACGCTTGGCAATGATTATAGAATTTTTTAAATGCTCTAAGAAATGTTGACGAGGAACAATTCAACAAAAATTTCTTCTCCTTGATAAGTCTGTCTCCTGTCTGCTCAACAATTACAGTATAAAGTCCGTAATCCGGACGTCCATTATACAGAATGATCTATAATCCGGACCTCAAAGCCACAAACTTTACGCATGCACACGTTGAAAGAAATGTTTAATAAAGTAAACAAATAAATATTAAGCCTTTTTTTTTTTGTAAAATTTGATACCCATTAGATCATAATTGCTCTTTATTTCATAAATTACGGTTTCATATTTTTAATTGATTAATTTCTGCATGCAATCTTACCAGATTTAAATTGATGATCTATAATCCGGAAAAACCCCTAATCCGGAATTGCCGAAGTCCCGACGAGTCCGGATTACGGACTTTGTACTGTATTCACTTATGCAAGTTAATTTGGTCTTAAAATTTCATTAAATATTTTTTTTTTTTTTGAGATTAAAATTTTTGGAAT